TCACAGAGGGGTTGAAAGGTTTAAGTGAGACAATGTGTTCAGAGTGCGTGGAGCATTCCAGAAGCTCCATCCCGGCCGAGCCGCTCTAGGTATTTTTGCCTCCCCTACCGCACCCATCACAGTACACGCTAGATAAGTATCTGTTCGGTTGAATTCACGGACACATGATAATCGGAATTATTTTAGGGAAGTGGCAGCAGGCACAGGGTAAATCCTATGCTCATTTATTCGAAGAGCCCTGGAGCTCACTACTCTGAGTGCTCATTGATCTTAAGCAGAGACATCTGAAAATCATTCACTGTCAGTGCCCCGAGCGGAGGTCCAACAGAGGAAACACCTGGCCAGAGAGAGCGTGCGCAGCTCCGTTCCCAGAGGGCTGCGACCTGTGCAGAGCTCCAAAGTCAAAATGCACCCAGGGGTCAACTCCCAACACCACTGAACAGTTAGGATGGGCGAAGTCCGCCTCATCTCGGGGAGTCGCGCGGCAAGCACAGCCTTGCTCTTTCGGTAGCAAAAGCCACAGGACACATGTTTGAAGACGTGCCCAGTCTGGATGCCTGGGTGGCTCAGTCACCCAGTGTCTGCCTTTGGCTCAGGTCGTGATCCTGCAGTGCCAGGATCGAGTCTCACATTGGGCTCCCCGCTCAGCGGGGGCTCTGCTTCTCCCTCTGCCTCTGCTCCTTCTCCTGCTCATTCTCTCTCTCTAATAAATAAATAAAATCTTAACAACAACAAAAAGTGCCCGGTCTTTCCCCAAACTGTATATCCTTAATAAACTCTGTCCTCAGAACATGCGATAACCCCCTGTAGGGTCTCCCTCTCTCCCGTTTCGGCCCAGGCCAAATGTCGCTTCCTCTGCCAAGCCTCGATTTCCCTCTGAGTTCACGGTCCTCCTAGTATAGGATCTCCTTTCACATTGTGTGTAAGTCCCCTTTCACTCCTGGAAACTTGGAGGACAGGGTCCGTGCCTGATTCTATGCCCAGAAGTAAGAACCGCTGGACCATACAGGTCCAGTAAACGCAGGATGGATTCTTGGATGCTTGGATGGGTGAAAAAATTGAATAAAAGTGGGAGGACCTTGAGGTACCGAAGTCGCTCTGCCATAGGGAGGTTCAGACAAGTTTCTCCAGGGAGGGAAGTTTTCCTTCTGCCAAGCCGGTACCTATGAAGCGGCAAGATTGGTCCCGGCCCCTTACGAACAAACAAGTTCTCAATCGCTGAGTCACTGTGATCCAAGTGCACACGTTGTCCAGCAGCCTAGCCAAAACCCACATTGGCGCAGAGCATCCTATGACCAATTTTTATCGTATCTCAAGGCACATCTCCGCCTTCTGAGCATTGGGGCACGTGTAAAGGCTCGCGGGGCGACTGGTAAATAACAAACTTTAAACCTGGGTTTCCAAACCAGCTTTCTCCTAGGCAACCATGAAGTTACCGAAAAGGGACACCTATCAGCCACTGTCCCCCTTGTGGTATTTCAGTCTTTGGCATCCTACTGTCATTCACCCTGAGTGAGCACTGCTGTATAGCCTGGAGGAAAATGTAAACAGCAAACTTCCTATACTCTGATCATTCCCTACTTGGCCCGAGAACATTTTAACCTCACAGGCTCAGCCCACCTCGTAGACAGGACCTCACGGGTCACCTGGGCCCTGGCAGGAAGCCCCTGGACCCCCGCCTGAGCTAGCAGGTGGCCCCTTGGTCTCCAGTGAATCACTGCCGGCTGGGATGGAGGCCAGGGATGGTATCCAGCTGAGGGAGCACCTGAATCGGGACATCACTTTGATTCTAGTAGGAGCTTTCAGAAAGATCCTCAGTTGGGTTGATAGGATCCGGACCCCAGGCCTCACAGACTCAGGAATGTGTGCCCAGAGGTCTCTCAATCACGGACGGAGGCGAAAATCACTCAAGGATAGTGACCATGGGGAAACAAACGTCTGTGCCAGTAGCCACATTTCCTTTCATGCGGGGTGCTACTGGATACCTTCTGGCATCAAGGTACTGTGGAGCCAATTTGAGTACAAAATTAGAAAGAGTGGGAGTCTCGAGGCCAAAATTCCCAGGATGTGGCAAGGCCCAATGAGATTGCACCGGCCTTGACCACGTGATTGGCCAGAACCTTCGTGTGGGTTGGCCCCTGTGACCCCTGGAGACTTCCCTACTGGTTTTCTGCAGCTGCCTTTCTCCCTGCCCTGTCCTCTGCTGAGGACATCTCCAGGTGTCTGTGCTCCAGTCACAGCTGCCCACGTGTCTGGTGGGCTTGGCCTCCTCCTAGCATGGGTCAAACCAACCCTTAGAGCTCTAGAGTGGCAGCCAACAGAAGCTGTTCCGTATTTAGACAACTCCAAATTCTCAGAGATATTCCTAGGTATCCACCCACCGTCAGCGCCCCGTCCTTCAGGGCGGCTCTGCCATCAAGCGCGGTGGTGGCACCCACCTGTACCGAAGCTCAATCAGCTCCTCCAAGCCTGGTGAGAACCCAAATGACCGTGCCCTCCCTCTTCCATGCCAAGGCCTCTAAAAAGGCCACTTGCTGGCATGCTCTCCCAGTCTCACGCACTCAAACGGTGGTTCCGCTGGCGAAAACAACGCGAAGCTTTGTCTTTAAACTAGAATTTATTGGTATACAAAATTCCATTTCATAGATAAAGTGGCACATCTTTGCAGCTTCTATTGCACCAAGTATGGAAGATTAAAACACACAAAAAAGAAACATTTGGTTTTGAAAACACTGCAAATAGCCAAGTACAGTACTTTGGTAAATAAAAATAAAATGGTTCAGATGAACACAATCTGTGAAAAGAAACCACCAAGAGGAAATGAACTATGGACATCAGACAATGGTCACATTTCTCCCCGTCGAGCTCTAGAGATAAGGCAAGACTTGCTAAGTCTAAGGATTGTGACCCCATGGAGGTCTTCAGTATCTCCAGACTGAAGCGAGGACAAGTATAGTGCAATTAGAAAAAAGAGATGGTTCCCGAGCCTACGAAGGCCCGTGTTCCCCAAAGACACACCTGTGCTCTTTCCCGGGGGTTCACGCCCTCTGACACCTCTGTGCCAGCAAGAGGAACACGCAGGGCTTGAGTCTAACTCCCGGCTCCTTCCATCTTCTCATTGAGCTCGGTGGTCCTGGAGCTTGCTGGAAGGGTGGCTGGGGAGGCCGAGGGCCCTCCTGCCGTGGAAAATGAACAATGAGGGTGGGAACATGGGGGACAGCCCCACAATAGTGTTCTTCAAGTTTTGGTCAAGGGACGTGCCAGGGGTTCAAACCACAGGCTGAGGTTTCTGACTGAGCCCCAGTGACTGTCCCGGACGGCTGGCCACGGGGGCCTGCTGGCTGCGGACGTGCGCAGGGGTAGGGGCAGCCCTCACATGCTTCGTCCGGGGATGGTCGCCCACCTGACGACAGGCACAGGGAGTAGCAGCCATTCTGGAACACGGGGCTGCCCTGCTGGAAACCGAGCCACCGCGCAGAAGTTCGTGCTTTACAGAAACGTTCTTCACGACCGCAGCCCCTTCTCCGGTAACTCTGCAAGGACGCTAACCATTTTAACCAAGCTACAAAGCACCCCTAACTAGCAGAGAGAGACTAGTAAGCTTAGAAGACATGGCTAAGAGCCTGAGGTCACCAGGAGCATCACCTGGGGCCTGAGCAGAGCGAGGCAGCCCGCAGGCCCATCAATTCCCCGGGGGCCGGGCCCTGTGACGGGGGGTGGGGGGTGAGGTCACCCCCTCCGCCTCATTCCAGTTACTCATTCTCCCTCTAGTATATGGCAGCAGATTTCCCTAAACACGTCATCTAGAAGACCTTCGCTTCAGTGTCAGCGGAAAAACACAATCTGCTTTAGAGTCAGGAAAACGCGGGTCGTAAAAATGTGCCATTATTCAATGACCTCCTAACAACTGTCGGAAGGCCCCAGAGTCTCAGCCACGCCTGCTCTGAACGCGGAGGTGGAGCGCGAAGACTGAAAACAGGAGAACAGCAGCAGACTCTGAATCTAGACGTTTGCTACAGACAGACCGAGCCTTGAGGTAAAGAGGTAAAGAGGTGAAGAGCCACGTGTCTGCCCAAAATGGGAGTCAGCGACGGCCCCAGATGTGACCCACGGAGACCAAGCGCTCCATTTTCTTCCTTTGACTCAGGGAGACCGTTAGTCAGCGTGGACTAGAAATCCCAGTTTCCGGTAACCGACTGCACGTTCGAGCGGACCATTTCACGGAGGTAAACTGACAGCATCCTACGCAGACCCAGTAAAACCCGGGCAGAGTCTGAAGCTTCTCAGAATGAGAGAAACTGCACACTGACGACAGGGACTCACCAGGAGGACAGTTCAGCGCCGAAGTCCCTCGATGCTGACCTACTTAACGAGTGAGCGGCTCTCCCCGACGTCGCACGGCCTCCCTCGCCCAGGACCGTGTCATTTCACATTGTAAATGCCAGGCAGAGGAGGCAGGGCGCTACCGATGACCAACTCGAAGGTTCCCGTGAGGCCCACTAGAGCCACCCCGCAAGGGAGACCCCACTTCACAAGCCCTCGGGATCAAAACAGGTTTGGAAGTGTTTTCAGAGCTTATAAAAGAAAATACAGACAACCACCTCCGCTGATATTGAAGATCTTGCTTTCTGCCACCATCCCTCAAGCAGGCTCTGCTCCAGAAACCATATGTGCGCGCTACGGAAAATTACATGTGCATACGCGTTCTCTCGAACACCTCCTGATGGCAACTATGTTATTTAAAAGGTGTGGTTCTAGGTTGCTTTAATACATCTACCTCTCTAGTACAAAGCTCTTGCCACTAAAATTTTATTTATTTTGACCTTTAGAAAATCTTATTTTAAAATCCATAAAACCTTTATATACAATTTCTAAGACGAATAAGCAGCTACAGACCACTGCCCCATCCCCTTCTCCTGACCTCACTAAAGGCTACCGAGACAACCCCAGGTAACGTTAACTTCTAACAGCCAAGATGCAGCCCAGAGGCTAAGTAAGCAACATGCGCCTCCTAACGTGGGGTGCACGTGAGTCACTGGGCTGGGGATGAGAGTTCCAAGAACAGTCAGCCCAGAGCCAAACACACTGGGCCTCCACGCTGGCTGCCAATAAAGTAATTTTCAAATGCCTACAAGGCAACTAAGTATACGGATCCCATCTACCTCATCCTTCAGTGACACTGAGGCAGTAAAGTCTAAACTCACACGCTTAGCGAGAGAGATCACTAAAGTCGAATACGTGTACCCCATTCCTAATAACTAACGTTTTAAACGCAGACCAATTTTAACTGGAAAACTATGAAATGGTAGTAAGAGAAAATTCCCGAAGCCAGATTAGTTTTTAAAACCACTGTTATTTTACCCCAGAAATGCTGAAGTCTATTATCAGAATTTGGTAATTTGTTAACAAGTGTGCCCAATATTCTTTAATAACTTTTTAGCAGCTTCTAGTTAAACTTCTAAAACCCAACAGGGCCCAAGGCCACCTTCACTAACCAGGTAAAAATAAAGCAATTCTATTGCTCCTGACAAGGGGTATCCCTTATGGTTATTTCAGATTCCTAATCCTGCTGAGTTTCTAAAACCACGATCTTGACCTTCCTGAGAGAATCAGGTCTCTTGCCCTCTAGGCCTACCGGACGGACAAGAAAGAGTGTTCGCTCAGGAAAGACCAACCACAGTCAGGAAAGTGTCCAGAGTCAAAAGCCAAGAGCACGATCGATCTGTGAGCACTGGGTCTCACTCCCTTGGAAACAGTAAGGCATCAGAGCCCCTGCACCCGCGGGGACTGAGCACAAGAGCCTCAGACTCAGGACTCCACAATGTGCAAAGAAATCATGCTCGGCACTTTCCAAATCTGCCGACTATTACAAAGCCCTGTACCAGGAAGAAGCCCAAACTGCAATGGCCTAAGAGCAGTTTCAAGAAACTACAGGTGCTCCAACTACAAAAGGTCACCAAAGTCAACAAACAAAAAATTAAAACACATCATTAAAACTGAAGAAAGCAAATCATCTGCTGATAAAAGCAATTCAGTGAATCCAGGCCCAGCGCAGATAATGGTACATCCATTCAGTCAAAAGGTTTTTATTGTTTTCCCGTGTCCTTGGAACAGTTATAATTTTGAAATCTGAGGTGGAGAAGTAACTAATTTACCTTCATTCAGCAGAATTTATCTGCCCAAATATGGGGTCCCCAAAAGGCCAAGACTGTCCGCGACTGTCCAGTCCATACGTTCTAGGTTAAAAGTTCACACCCACCTACTGTCTTAGGAATGACCCCTCTCCACCTCTCAAATCCATGTCAGAACTGTGGAGTCATTCCATGGCCTCTGCCCTGTTGGGCTAACCTGAGTCCCTGACAAGTGCTAGAATGCGGAAGAATTTTTCCGACATCAAAATCCCAGATAGGGCTGGAACAGAAAGAAAGAAATGCAGCATTTTATGCGATTCCATTTTCACAACATTAAGAAAACTGAGCATTAGGTCAAAATTACTTCTCTAAAGGTATCTAAGTCTAGAACAATGAAGAAGAAAACAGTTAATTATTTAAAAGGTGAACCTGAAAAGCTTTAGTTATTCTTCCAGACCTCTGCCCGCACAAAATCAAGTAACTCCTTAGCGTCTCTGCAGACAAAGACTGGACTCTCTTCATTTCTCCCTTTATAACCCTGGGTTCTGCTCTCCATACGACCAGAAGCTCAGGATTACCTCATAAGCAGTAACATGCCACCTTCTCTGTGTCAAGAAACAAGTACCAAAACCTCAACACCACTACCACTTTTCCAGCAAAGTCCGGGCCTAATCAGCATCGGGCGTGTTTCTGAGAAGGCGTGCGCACAAGCAAACTGAGCACCTGCATCCCACCTGAAAACAGCCTGAGAGTCAGGAAGGAGAGAAACGTAGCTGTTGAATTTCCACCCTGACTACAGGCCGCAACCCTCATATCCTATTACTTTGGGAAAAATACTTCCTGAATTAATTTCTGATTAACTTGGACTAGTAGAAAATTAAATCTAAACATGTTCCTGAGTTGAAGACCATTTACAAACTATCCCGTATGTGAATATCTGCTTGAAAATGAAAGGAAAACAAAGGAAACTTGTCGTTCGGAATTTCTAGCAACTAATCTAAACTACTTCGTGAACAATTACGGCAAAACTCACCCCAAGTGCTCAGGGAAAGTCCCAGAGTCACTGAACTCTGATTTTTCAAGGCAAATAAAACCACACCTAAAAGGTTTTTGCCTGAACTAACTGTCCAACCCTAGGACTCGATGTTTTAATTGCAGAACATGAATGGCTTCACTGAACGTTCATCAGACAGAACACACCACTAACAAAAGTCTGAGCAAAACAGAGGCAGCCTGAAAGGAGACTAACTCAGTGTACGAGCTTGTGTGTGACTCTGGGGGCTTGCACGTCACTTTGTGAGAGGTCGGCCTCCCTGGAGAGCCTGCTATGCGGCGCTCCTTTTCCATCCGCTCCTCGCAGCTCCCAGAAGGCCAGAGAGTCAGATGTTGAGAGCGGCAAAGGTCTTCACCAAGGTGACCTGCGTGTTCGCATCCGCTTCACTTCGGCTGCTGTCCCTGTGGCCGCTCCTGCTCTCCAGGGCCTTGTGACGGTGCCTCTCCTCCTGTCGCTTCTTCTTCTCCAGTCGCTGCTGCTCCCGCCTCTGTCTGCTGGTGACCTGAAAGAGAAGGCCGCGTGAGCTGCCCACGCGGCAGACTCAGGTGGCACCTGCCGAGGGGACACATGGGGCACGGACAGATCCAAGGGTCATGGGCTGCTTCTCAGCAAGAACAGAGAAAACCCACCTAACAGACCAGAAGTGATGTCTTTCCCATCACAGCTCCAATTTACATTTAAATTTCTATCTCCTTGCTGAGCTAGCAAAAGAAATAAATTCCATTCTTCTCAAAATCCAATACACAATGACCTAAGAAACATGAACCCCAGTCCTGCACGACATAATGCTCAAACATGCCAGAGGCCCCCTGTCTCTACATAATTTAACGCCCCAGTAACCCTAATAAAACCCGCAGCAGCTTACTGCATTTTTACCACTGCCTGTGGCTTTTGACATTATGCTGCATTTGGGGCTCAGAACTGCTTGGTGAAAAATCTTTAAAAGGAATTTCCAATTCCGTAAAAGCAATGGTACCATATACTACTTGCAGGAGTCAGGGGCGGGGGGAGAGACAACCCTTCCGGGAAACATCTGACAATTTATCAAAAAGCCTTAAAAAGATTCAAATGTCCATACCCTTTAACCTATCCATTCCTCTTCTGGGACTCTGGCTACACAAAAAACTAATGCAAAATACAAAGATTTACACACAAAGTTCTTCAGTGAAGATGACGGCACTTATTGTATCATACGGGTTAACCGGAAAGCACCTGGACGCAGAGGAGCACTGGGCGGGGAGGGAGGCTGTATGTGTGTACACAGAGCAGCACGGCCAGGCCCACCTCTATTCGTCACTGCACGCAGCAAACTGGACAAGCAAGGTTCTCATTCTGCTTCTCGATGCCCCCTTATCCACTTCCCATTTTTTCTGCAATAACTACTTTCAAACCACCAGAAAACAATGATGCACTAACATGAGCTCCCAGTTCCCACCACTGCCACTGAATCACCGTGGCCCACCACTGGCCTTTGCGAGCCCATCTTTCATACCTTTGGGAGCTGGTTTTTATTTGCTTTGTTTTCTTCACTAGGGCTGGCCCGCTCTTTATTGTTGTCAGTTCTGCCTTCATTTAAGCTCTGATTTCCAAAGAGCCTGGTGCCACTGCCGCCCTCCTCCCATAAAGGGCCACACGGCTTCAGACTTTGGCCACTGGACTCAAGGTTCTCCTCTGCATCTTCCAAAGAAAGGTATTTTATTAAAATTGAGAACCTAAGACAGTTACACAACCTAACAATGCATAACTCCAAAGAGAGCAAGTTTCCTTGAAGCAAAATTCTAACATCAAGTCAATACAGTGGGGAACACAGCGGGGAATGACTGGTACTATTTGGAAGATAAATTTAAAAAGAACCTGCTGACCAGCCTAATCATCAGCTTCCCATCTGCAGAGTGTCTTATTAAACCACTTTTTAACACGTATTTTTAGGAGGAAATCTTTCATTTGCACCCAAAACCCAGAAAGGAAACAGACTCCAAACCCGTACTGCCTAATACAGCAGCCATCAGCCATAGGTAGCCATTTAAATTAAAAATGATTAAAGTTCAATGAAATTGAAACTTCAGTTCCTTACTCTCACTCTGCCATACATGTCAACTACACACTATACTGGATGGTGCTGTTTTAACGTCACAAAGACCAAGTTACTCGCAGCCTTCTGAGAAAGCACAGCAAATACATAAAGAAGAAAATACCCAAACACATAGAAAACTGTCATGCTGGGAGCAGAACCTGGCACCTATCCGGCAATATGTACCAAAATCATTCTGAATAACTTGTGAGGACACTAAGACTGTGTCTTTTTTGTTGTTGTTGTTTTCCATTTTCTGAGTCACAGAATTAAACCCAGTTCAAGTAAAACAAAATTCTAATTTCTCACCAGCTGATGGATACTAGTTATCTATATATTTCCATTAGAAAACTCAGTTATTTCTCTCTCTAGTCTATTTCAGTTATCATTTTTTTATTATAAGGGATTCCTCTTTCAAAAAGAATAAAGTCCTCCCTGAACTCTCCATCCCTCTAAGACCAGCTTAAGTGGCCTTTCCATGCACCCCCTGGTTCTCTGTACCCCCACTAGTACGAATTATTATGCTGGTTTCCCTGTCTCCCCTCTGCCCCTCTCTCCCCAACTCCAGATTATCTCCTCCCTAAGGCAGGGCCAGGGCCTTGTAAAACATGCCCACATGCAGAAAGTGATAAATGGCAGTATAATCACTACCTGTGCCTTGATAAAAATTAAACATTTGAAAAGTCACCAACACAACCATTTTGAAAGCATATAAATATCAATCATGGACTCACTATTTCTTTTCCCCTGGTTCATCTGAAGCATGGCAATTATTGCAGATTCAATGTTATAATTTTCGGCTTCCAGGTTCTGGACTATCAAATTAAAATCCTATCCAAGAAACAAAGGAACACGTCAAGACTGGGTAGACTCTTCTACCTACCTCCACGTCAACAACCTGATACGTGAGAAGAGCTAACGGTGAGAATCAGGGCTTGGCTTCAAGACCTTTTCCATTTAGGAGATGCCTTAATTTTCAATAAGGCTGGTCACTTGAAATAACTATTTAATATAAATGAGTTCCTTTATATAAAACTGCACTTTTACTAGTGTAAACGCCAGTCAGAAAAAGAAAAACAAAAAACCCACACACCTCCTTAGGATTTTGAGCAACACTGGGTAAAATCTAGCAAACAAGAGACAAGTGAATAAGCAGCTCTCCTTAGGTCATCTCACTTGATCTGATGAGCCACAAACATCATGAGCCACAAACATCATGAACCTTGCTCGGCCCATCAGGTGTGGGCATCCTACACTGGGGCTACGAAACTGGCAGGAAAACTCGGCCCAGCAATGCTTGTTCATGCACCATTATTACTACAGGACAGAAATACTCACTGAACATCCAGTCGCATTGCAGACCTTCTGGACAGCATCTTCTACTTCACCTCTCAGGTCATCCTCAAAGTCAACACCCTTCGTCTTGACCTTTTCCCTTTTATTTGACTCATCTTGATGAAGCATCTGAAACTAAAGGAAATATAAAGAGTAATAATCATGGAACATGCAAATTAGGTTCAGAATCTTCCACATAGGAAGACATTTTAATCTCAAAATCATTCTAGTATTTATTGATGGGGAGAAGATTCCAGGAGCAATCTTCAGGGAATAGCAATGACTAAGCTAAATTTCATCCAGACACGGATACTCCAGCCCATAAAACAAGTGTTAAAAAGAAAGGCCCAAGATAGAGGATAAACTGCTCAGGAAGAATGGCATTAGAGCTCCCACATCGTTTCTAGACACCAACAATCTGGCAACGACCGCTGACTTGAACAGCACACGTTGTCTCAGCTGATCGCCAGAGCTAGGCGTTTAGTCACAGAAGCTCAACTGATAAGCTTCTGCAGCAGGACAAGTTGTCCGAAGAAACATTCATACATCCCTCACCTGGGTCCCAAGGCCCTCTCTGATCATCATCAAGTCCTGGTGTGCTGAAGTTCCTGTCCCACCTGGACAGTCACAGGTGGGCGTGACTCCTCTCACCTCATCTGACCTCACCTAACCACAGGCATACCACCACGTGCAAGGGAACCTGGCAATGCAAATCCTAAAAACAGAAAGAGCAGTTCGTTTGGTATCCGCGAGGCCTTTCCAACCTAAGCTTATTGCACAATAGCTAAAAATCGTCGCTCTGTGGTTGCTCAATCACCTTCTCTCTTCACTTCTGCTAACACAGGGAGATGGGAAATAGGCAAGGACAAATTCCTACTTGTTTGCCTGTAAAAGCATAAGCGGAATCCAGCAGTGTGCAGTCCATTCCTTCCAGCACGAAGCGATCTATTGTAAAATTACACCCAAACAACTTGGCCAGACTTTAAAATATATCCAAAGGACATAATGTCAAATAACGTCAACTTTAGAAAGGGTTTCTGTGAAAGTGCTCACCACAGCACTACTAATGGTGGTGAGTGACTGGAAACCTGAGGGTTTCAGTGTATGGGTAGTTAAATAACCATGGTAAATCCGTACACTAATGCTTCAGTTCTGTTAAAGTAAGGAGCTCAATAGACATTTCACTCTCATGATTATTTAACAGTGTTTTGGCAATAGCAAAAAGCAATTAGCCCTCTCCCCACAAAAAAAAAAAAAACAAAAACCAGAAGTATGAAATTGAAAAGAAGAAAGATTACCACTATTTGCAGATGATATAATTCTATACTTAAAAAAAAAAAAAGAAACCCCAAGAGAATCAACCAAAAAACTACCACAAACAAAAAGAATTCTGGCAAATCATATACTTACAAGAAGCTAGTATCCAAAATATATAAAGAACTCTTATAATTCAACAACAAAAGCACAAATACCACAGTTAAAACATGGGCAAAGGACGTGAGCAGACATTTCTCCAAAGACACACAATGGCCAGCGAACACATGAAAAGACGCTCTACAGCATTAACCATTACAGAAATGCAGATCAAAACCAGGAGACAGCATTTCCTACCTGGTAGGATGGCCATAATTTAAAAGAGAAAGAAGGAAAAATAGCAGGTGTTGGTTAAGAGTGTGGAGAAAGTGGAACCCGGAACACACTGCTGACAGTACGTCAGACACGCAGCCAGTGTGGAAACAGTGCGGCAGTTCCTCAAGAAGTTAAACATATGACCTAGCAATTCTACTCCTGGATATGTATCTAAAAGACTGAAGACAGGGACTGAAATGCTATACGCAAATATTCATTGCAGCACTATTCACAAGAGCCTAAAGTGGAAATAAGTGCTCGCTTCGGCAGCACATATACTGAAGTGGAAATAACGCAGATGCCTATCGACAGATGAAGGGCTAAATGAATGGGCTCTATCCACACAGTGCGGTATTATTCAGTCTTAGGAAGTATGGACACCTGCCACAAAATGAACGAATCTTGAAAACGTGCTGCTGTGACATACGTCAGTCACAAAAGCCCACATATTGTATGATCCCATTTATATAAAACGTCCAGAACTGATAAATCCATAGAGACATAAAGCAGATTGGTGGTGGCTGAGGGAGGAAAGGAATGGGGAGTGACCTGCTTCATGGGCACGCGGTCTCCTTCTTGGGTGAGGAAAATGTTTTGGAGCTGGATGGAGGAAGGAGATGCACAGCTTTGTCGGTATATCAGTGGCACTAAACTGTACATTGCAAAATGGTTAATTTGGGGGCACCTGGGTGGTCTTGTCAGTTAAGTGTCCAACACTTGATCTCAGCTCAGGTCTTGATCTCAGGATCCTGAGTTTGAGCCCAGCACTGAGCTGCATGCTGGGCATGGTGCATACTTTAAAAAAAAAAAATCTCTAAAATGGTTAATTTTGGGGGGCACCTGAGTGGCTCACTGGGTTAAGCCTCTGCCTTCAGCTCAGGTCATGGTCTCAGGGTCCTGGGATCGAGCCCCGCATCAGGTTCTCTGCTCAGCAGGGAGCCTGCTTACCCCTCTCTCTGCCTGCCTCTCCGCCTACTTGTGATCTGTCAAATAAATAAAGTCTTTAAAAAAAATTAAAAAATAAAATGGTTAATTTTATGTTACGTGAATTTTACCCGAATTTTTAAAAAAGACAGAATTCTGCATGATAGCTGGGTGCACACATAATTAACATTTTGTTAACTACTCTCATATATACAAATGATAACTAGCTAGGAAACAGAAAAAGAAGAAGATCATTTCCTTATAATAGAAACAAAAACACAAAATACTTAAGAATAAACTCCACAAAAAATTAGCAAGATCCATAAGTAGGAAATGCTCCTGAGGATCACCCAAAAAGTCAATTAAACAGAAAAACATAAAACATCACTGGTTTTGGGGGCACCTAGATGGCTCAGTCGGTTGAAATGTTAGACTCTTGGTTTCAGCTCAGGTTAGGATCTCCAGGTCACGGGACTGAGCTCTAGGTCGGGCTCCACACTCAGCGCAGAATCTGCTTTAGATTCTCTCTCTCCCTCTCCCTGGCCCCTCCCCACCACTCATGCTCTCGCTCTCTCTCTCTCAAATAAATAAACAAAATCTTAAAAAAAAAAAAAAAAATCACTGGTTTTTAGCTCCCAGGGCACACAGTTCTTGACCCGGTTCCACCAGGGCTGAGAACACAGAAGAAAACAGGGGCCTCACTCACATCTGTCTGGAGGTGTGCCGGGGCTTCCGAGTTGTCATTCAGCCTCCGAACACTGTCATAGTGCTCTCCGCACCGATATGCGATGTGTAACTCCCTCACGCTGCTCTTCTCTGTGCCACGAATCTGCAGGCAAAAGGGGAGACAGATGCCAGCAAGGATCTGGATGGTGTCAAGTCTGGGAGGGAAAGGCCCCCTGGGTTGTCCAGGAAGCCCAGTCAGCAGGCTCCATGCACACATGAATTCAGGATAGGCTGGGATATGCCAGAGGGCGGGGCTGGAAGAACAGATACAGGACAAGCATCTGCTGCGATGAGAGATTTGGTGCACACCTGGACTCTGGGCCCTGTGTTTTCAGCCTCTGATTTAATTTGTGGGGAAAAAAATAAAGGAAAGACTTTCTCTTTAAAAAAAAAAAAATGCTTAAGTAACTTCTGAATTCTCTTTCTCCCACCCATGTTACATAGGCTTCAAACTGCTTAATGTGTAACTATATGGAAATCCATCCACATGAAAAAATATAGTCCAAAGCCAGAGCAGATTTACGAGGAAATTAGAGCAGCTTATGTTTCAGAGGCTTCCGCACCCCTCAGCCCCTCCATGCACAGGCCCTTTCCAGGGTGGAAGGCCCAGGGGCTGAGACAGATTTGTTCAGTTTGAAGCTCGAACAACCTGGGGCCCTCTCTGAGAAAAAGAATACAAAATTACAAATATTAAATTGTTATAACCCCTCCCAAGACCTTGAAAGGGGACTACAAAAATGAGGGACCTGACACTCAGAGTAAATCCACCCATTGTTAAAACAAAAATAGCATTTTCCATCAACTGCATACTAAGAAATTAACAAGAACAAATTCAAAAATTAACAAGAACAAATTCAAAAATCTCACTTAAACCAAATCAAAACAAAACGTGATACAGTCAAGCAGTACTACTGCGTGGCCCAATGAGGCACTGTTTCAAGGCACGCCATGCAAATGGTGCCCATGGAGCGCAGCCCAACAAGAATGGTGTTCCCTGAAGTTGTGCTGTACAGAAGCCCTGAGGGTCAGGCTGGGTACGCCCCCAAGAAACCACCACCTCCACAGAAACTCTGAAGTAATTCTGAATCTGTCCCTTTAAAAGCCCAGTAACTATTTCTTTGTTAAACACCAAAACATCAGCACCTCTTCTTGTTTTTACTGAAAGTCATAGGTAGTAAGATTCTGCCATTAATTCAAACAGTATCTATGGTCTAAAACACAACAAAAGCCGGAACCACACAAGTCTAGAGATCAGAACCATGGAAATTTCCTCCAGGTGGAATACTTAGGTCTCAAAATACAGAGAGTCTGATTTTGACATATAATAGAGCGAGTACCAATTATCTCTCTTGGGAGGAGTTAAAGCAATTATAAATTAAATCTCCAGGAAGAGTAATGGAAAAGGAAACTAGTTGATTAGAATCTTTGAATGACATTGTCCCTAAAATACGTACATATTTAAATAATAGTAATATACACACAGTATGAATAGGAGAAAATAACTGGAATAGTCACCAAATTGTTAACTGTGATGTTCAGGGGGAGAGAGATTACAGAAGACTTTCACTTTCTATGCTACACATGTCTACACTGTTCACAGAAGCACATACTCCATTTGTAACGAGGGAAAAAATGCAGGTTTCAGGGTCTCAATGTTGTGAGTACAAGTCTACTCATTGTTCATGCAAGAGCTCTTACCCCAGATAGTAGCAACCAATGCAGTTTCAATTCTTAAATTTTCTTAAGATCCAGGGCACCTGAGTGGCTCAGTAGGTTAAGGCTCTGCCTTTGGCTTAGGTTATGATCTCAGGGTCCTGGGATCGAGCCCCACATCGGGCTCTCTGTCAGCAGGGAGTCTGCTTCCTCATCCCCACCCCCACCTGCCTCTCTGCCTACTTGTGATCTCTCTCTGTCAAATAAATAAATAAATTTTTAAGAACTTTTATAAGATGCTTCAAAGGGGAGTGGGAAGATGGGAGGAGATCCAGTGCACAGTTCCATTATACAGCAATTATATTTATTTTAAAAACATATACTTTCAAAAACAAAACAAAAAACCAAAACATATACTTTCACTGTTCAGCAATCCATGAAAAAGAATACTACAGAAATATATTTGGAAAAAAAATTCTAACTATGCAGAATTATCTTCCACAACTACCTAGATAATAAAAAAAAACTTAAAAAAAAAAGTTAGGGGAGCCTGGGTGGCTCAGTCAGTTAAGCAGCTGCCTTTGGCTCAGGTCATGACCCCGCACTGGTCTCCCTGCTTGGTGGGGAGTCCACTTCTCCCTCTCGCTCTGCCTACTTGTGCTCTCTATCTCTCTGTCAAATAAATAAATAAAATCTTTTTAAAAAATAAAAATAAGACAAACAAAAAACGTTACTGGAGTTCCTGGGTGGCACAGTCGGTTAAGCATCCGATCTTAACTTAGGCTCAGGGCATGATCTCAGGGTCATGGAATCAAACCTCTGCACTCAGTGTGGAGTCTGCTTGTCCCTCTCCTTCTGCTCCTTCCCTCCCCACGCACACACACTCACACTCTCTCCCCCTCTCAAATAAATAAGTAAAATCTGTAAAAACAGTTCTCAATGGAAAGGGAGACTGTGGTTACTAAGTTGGCCCAGATTATTTTTCGTCAAGAATAGGGTCATTATGCTATAAATTCAAATGATCTTGATGACTTCTGCTAAACAGTAAAACTTTAATGACCAAAAACTGAGACCATGGAACCAGTAACCAGTATTCTTGGTTGTAAGACCAACCTTAGAAAGAGAGAATCTCGGAAAATATGATCGTGTTCCCTGGTGTTGGTCCACCTGACAAAACTGCCCCAAAACAAAATATGTACAGTCACTGTCCCCCCGCCCTGTCCCTATATCTTGCACCAACCCATGAGTATCCCATTTATTCCGCTCTAAGAGAATTTCATTAAAGGATATTATGACAGATGCAGAAGACTACATACTTCCATTAATAGGACATTCTGAAAAGGCAAAATTGTAAGAGATAAATGACATTAGTGTTACAAGAGGCAAGGGATGGGGGGAGAGGGAACTATGACTGCAAATGGCCATGAGGTGACTTTTCGGAGTCATGGAAATAATCTGTATGTTGACGGTGGTGGTAGTGACATGACTGTGTTTGTCAAAACACACAGAAGTATACGTCAGAGAAGGATGAACTTTGCTCTATGTAAACTGTGTCTCTATAAACTTTATTTTTAATGAGGAAAGGCTAGACACAAGCAATTTACAAAGAAATACGTATGTGCAGGTGGTATATTTAAAAAACGAGGGGAAAAAAGGTCATCATTGCCTTTATGAAAATAATCAGAGAGATGTGTAAGAAGTGCATACACGTGCACACAGACGCATCTCCGTGTGCGCAAATGGGCTTCAAACAGGGATGAGACCACCGTGATGTGTCTCTTTTCCAGGCTCGGCAAACAGTGCACATGAATGCCACGGATACACACTAACAAGTTAGCAGTAATAACCTCTGCATAATAGGACACTCTGGGTGATTTTTACTTCCTTTTATGGGCTTTTCTGAGGTTTCGAAATTTCCTGATTAACATGTTTTAGCTAATTTAAAAAAAAAACAACTTAGAGATGGGGAAGTGAAGGGAAGAAGAGAGGACTAACAGAAATCCTATGCACAGTTTTGAGGAGTGGAGCCACAACGGGAAAAGCAGCGCTCTGAATGCAAGGATGAAGGGTAAGGGAATGGTAGCCTAGAGACACTTTCCCCCTGACCTGTGGCTTTCCATACTCCAGAACGTTTGGTTTGATGGACTGTTTGGAGGAGATGAGGTTACTTTAGGATACCAAAGGTAATGAAAGGCGGAAACAGGTGAATGGACAAGTACTTCATGACAGGGGCCAGGGGACCACACCGAGTACGTGTTGTTAAAATCTTATTTGCCGTAGAAAAACCACTAAAACCATTCTGTGTGGCTGGGCAGAGCACAGAACAGAGCTTGACATCCTAGGCCATGAAATATATTTTGCTGTTCAGAACACACTTTTTAGCAACACTTACTGAGTGCATTTGGTTTTTGTCTCCCTCCACATAAAAAAACAAAACATACACGTGGGTTAGGCATACCTCCAATCGGAATTTGTAGGCCCGAATCCTCTGGATTCCCGCTTTACTATTTTCTACAACGTGATCTAAAGTATTTCCATATTAGGCTGTTGGCCCTCAAATTACCCAGTTAACTGACTGCTAAATAATATATATTTTTTAAGTTGTTATTTAAAGTCAAGTTAGTTAACAGTGTATTAGATTCAGATGTACAATTCAGTGACTCAACACTTCCATAGGACACCCAGTACTCATCACGAGTGCCCTCCTGCAACCCCAGCACCCTGCTGAATAATACTGTTAACCTTCTAAAGGTCTGTGCCTTATACTTCAGATTCCCTATGTACATAGCACGGGGTTTAATTCAAAGCCACTGGCAGCTTCCCGTCTGTGGTTAGGCCGGCAGTCCAAGTGACCCTGTACAGTTCAGTATCACCATCTCTGGACACCCCCAGTGCTAATTTATAAGTAAGAGCTTAAGACAAGTCCCCCAGTAGGTGACCTACCTGCCACAAAGGGGCATTAAGTTGATGAATCACCACATTCAACTGATGATTTCTTGCAAAGGCTACGATTGCATCATTGCCAGCAAAGGTTCCAGGCTTTGCCAAACTGGCCACTGCACAAAACAGGAGAGAGAGGAAAATGAACTCTTTGGAATGGAAAAATCCAAGTGCAAGCATGCTTTGGTATTTGCTTAGTTCCAAATAGTATGAAACAGAAGGATCCATCTGAGAAATCCGTAAGCTCTGTCAGAACCAGGAATTCAGTTGGTTGCACGGTATGTCGTCTGCTACTCGGAAGAGTACCAATCATTCATAAAGAAAGGAGTCATTTCTTCCCTCATTAATCACTTACTGACTGTTTCCTATATGCCTAACTCTGTAAGGCTGGAAACGGAACAACAACCAGAGTAACCTTCAGTTTGCATTAATGAGTGTGATTAGGTGTTAAGCATGGCTCTACTCACTTCCGGATTATTATTTTTAATCCTCAAAACTCTCTGAAAGAGACAGCATCATGCACACCATCCTCCAGGTAGAGCAGTTTGTAACTGAGCCCAAGGTCACAGAGCCAGTACATGGCAGAGCAGAGACTGCATCCCAGGCAGCCTGATTCCAAGCCCTGGCTCTTGGCCACTCCATTACATAGCTGGTCACAATCTGAGCTCAAGGAGTCTACAACCAGTGGGGGACAAACAACAAGAAAACAGGCTGATGCATAAGTGTCGCAGGGAAGGGATGTACGGTAAGGAACTTGGCCTCACCCAGAGAGGTCTGGCCTTTGTCCCTGACTCCTAGGTAATAACCTCTAAACCCTTGAAATTTCCCACGTGAAAGGATGATGGGCCCCTTGGCCCCACTTGAGTTTATACTAATGAGGTGACTCATGGTGGGCCTCTCTGGCCACATGATGGTAGGAAGACCTGGGGGACTGGGAGCTGGATACTGAGAGCACCCACCTAGGCAGTCAATCAATAATAGCTACATAATGAGGCCCCAGAAATCCAAACGCGGAAGTCAGGGGGCTCCCTGGCTGACAGTATTCTGTGAATGTGTAACCTTCCCTGACTCTAGCCCTTGGCTAATTTTGACCCATATCCTTTCCTTGCAAAAAATTGTAACTGTGAGTATAACCACCGTCAGTGAGTTCTGAGTCCTTCTAAAAATTATTGAACCTGAGACTGGTTCTGGGAAACCCCCAATTTGCAGTTGGTATCAGAAGAGGGAAGTCAGGTACTTGGGTGGCTCAGTCGTTAAGCGTCTGCCTTTGGCTCAGGTCATGATCCCAGGGTCCTGGGATTGAGCCCCACATTGGGCTTCCTGCTCCTCCCACTCTCCCTGCTTATGTTCCTGCTCTCACTGTCTCTCTCTCTCTCTCTAATACATTTTTAAAAATCTAAAAAAAAAAAAAAGAAAGAAAGAAAGAAGAGAGGAAAGTCTTATGAGAGACTGTGCCCCCAAACCCTGCCGTCTGGCTAACTCCGGGTCAGGACCACAACCCAGTCTGGTAGTGGGAGGGGGAGGTAAGGCGTATCAGACAAGCTTCTCAGCAGACAACTGCACTGACTCCTACAGGGCGAGCAGGAGACAGACAGAAGAGGAATGGATGACGTTCCAAGCAGAGGTGAGAGAGAGAGAGGATGAGCTTGTGCGCTATACAGTATGGTGCGAACTTGGGACTGCCGAGAGCCGGGGGTCGGGGAGCAGAAGACAGAGTGGGAAACAGCAGGAGACGAGGATAGAGAACTAACAAGAGCTGAAGAGTTTAGACTTTATCCTCAGGTCCGTGGCGAGTGGCCAACAGGTTTTTGATGGGAAAAGAGGTCTTAGATGTATGTGCATTTAGCTCACTACTCTGGCCGCAATGTGGAAGACAAACTCAAGGGGTCAAGAGGCAATGGAATCAGTCCAAATAGTACTGAAGAAGTCTAAGCAAATGTCCCCCAAGACTTGATTTTATGAGGGAGAAGCGGGGAAAGAAAAAGACATGGAGGTGGAAGTGACAAGCCTTCATAAACGACGGGGCATAAGAGAGAGGGAGAAGGCCTCTGTACAGTCTCTGTACAGTTGGAGAGCCAGAGTCTAAAGGAAAGAACAATCTTAAACAACACAGCCATCCACCAGGGTAACCAGGCCCTAAAGAGTTAAGTGAGCCGTTTATTTATTCACTTAACAAACGTCTTCCGAGTGCCTACCAGGTGCCAGGCAGTGCCACTTTGCGGAACAACCACCGTCCTTGTCCCCAAGAATCTCACAGTGTAAAAAGGCAGGCAGGCGTTAAAACCACATTAACCAGAAGAGTGATACACGGAGTAAGTCCAGGCTTCTGGTGACCCGCGAATGGAATGTGTAGACTTCTCAGGGTCCTTTCATTCCGCTATGGCAGCCAGAGCCACCTCTCACACCTCTGATGCTCAAATTCTTACAGAGCACCAAGCAGCCATCAGGCAAACCCAGTGGCATTTCAACAACACAGCCTCCCATTGTGCATCGACAGGGACCATCACATCACGCTGGTGGCTGCAGGCTGGAGTCCCCTGTCCTGCCGCACCCCAAATCTACCACGTGACTTCACTGCAGATATCCACAGGGATTCTCCAGTCAAAGTGAAAACTCTCTCCATCCAAAATGATATTTTACTTGGGCGAATGACACCATTCATTTTATACAGCACTCAACTGCAAAACTTGCCCTGTAGACCCACACTTGTCAACAGCTGAGCATCTGGTAACCTGGTATCTGCCAGACAGAAATTGAGCCAGAGAGAGGAACCATCAGAACTCAGTGACTGACAAAAACTACTCATGGAGAGGGGTGGTTTGCTGCTGGGCCCCTTTGCTGATGGTGCCTAATGAATGAGTCCTTTCCTAGGTAGGAATGAAAAAGGCTTTGGGGTCATGGATAGTTTCCCTGCCAAAGGTCTTCCTCCTGCTGCCCTCTCTCTCGATGGAGAATATAAGGATACAACTACCCAGCCATTCTCCAGAACGTTCCAAATCACCTTTGTCTCCTCCTCCTCTCCTCCTCCTCCCCTCCTCCCCACCTCCAATGAGGCCTGTCAATTACGATACCAAACTGTCCTAGCTTGAACTCTACTGATTACCCCAAGTAGCTGGTGGAGACTCTCTTATTGTTTCATCTGGCCAATGTGGACAGGCTTCTAACTCATCCTCCTTCTCAGTCTTTCTCCATCCATTCCTGACATGGCATCCACAATTAGTTCTCTAAAACACAGAATGATCCTGTCTCTTTCTTTGTAAGGGTATTATGTGCGCCCTGTGATGATAATGTTAGTAAAATACAAATATATCAACACCTTGTTTAGTAGATCCTTAAAGTTTTGTTTTTTTTTAAGATTTTATTTATTTATTTGAGAGGGAGAGAGCGAGCACAAATGGGGGAGAGACAGAGGGAGAAGCAGACACCCCGCTGAGCGGGGAGCCTAATGCGGGGCAGGGCACTATCTCATGACCCTGAGACCACAACCTGAGCTGAAGGAAGATGCTTAACTGATAGAGCCATCCAGGTACCCCGAACCTTAAAGTTTAAAAGCTCAAATGTACTAGGGCTCCTGGGTGGCTGTCAGTTAAGCATCAGACTCCTGATTTCAGCTCAGGTCATGATCTCGGGGTCCTGGGATCAAGCCTCGTGTCAGGTTCTGCGCTCCCCAGGGACTCTGCTTCTCCCTCTCCCTCTGCTCCTCCCCCCCTTTTTTTTTCTCTCCCTCTCCCTAAAATAAATAAGTAAAAATCTTTTAAATAAAAGGTGGGGGGAAGCTCATATGTACTTTCTTACTAGATCTGAGCTAATTTAAATCATTGACTTGCCTCAAAGAAAAGTGGTTGTGTTTGGGTTTCTGGTGAGAAATTAAAATGACTACTGCTTTTTCTGATTATAAAAGCAATATGTGGGCGCCTGGGTGGCTCAGTGGGTTGAGCCACTGCCTTCAGCTCGGGTCATGATCCCAAGGTCCTGGGATCAAGCCCCGCATCCAGCTCTCTGCTCAGCAGGGAGCCTGCTTTCCTCTCTCTCTCTCTCTGCCTACTTGTGATCTCTCTGTTAAATAAATAAATAAAATCTTAAAAAAAGCAATACATGGTCATTTTGAAAATCAGAAAAATATGCAGAAGAACATTTAAAGTTGTCATAGTCCCGCCACCCCTAGACGGCTGGCATTTATTAAGAACTTATTTTAATTATATTATCTAATTTAATCCTTATCAAAAACCCTATAAATTGGTGTTATTATATCTCGAAGTTGTTGAAAGTAAGTGGTTTCTGAAAAATAAGCAGAGCCAAGAATTACCAACCACAAAATGTTAGGACTTAGCCACGTTTCCTAGCGTGTGTGTGTGTGTGTGTTTATGTACCTTTCAAAATGAAGATGAGTCTGTATACATTTTATAGGCTTCTTTGACCACCCCCCCACCACTGAATAAGAAGTTTTAAATAGCTTTTCAGGTTAATTAACAGCATCACTTTTATTAAGGGCACAGATACCTTAACCTATTGATTCCCAACTGCCCAGCATGCTGCCTATTACAGAGCAGACAAGTATTTGTTGAATAAATGAATGCCATCATTTATGAACTGAAACCCCTGACTCAGAGGGTGGGGAATGCTGATGGATTTAATTACCCAATGCATTACTCCTGGAGGATCCAGTGTCCCACGGTGAACCTACCATGTTTCTCAAAAGGAATGTCATCTTCTACAAAGGGTTCAAAATCTTCCCGCTGCTTTATCATGTAATCCACTGTCTCTTGTCGGTGCTTGAGATGATTTCGTGAGTGTCCCTCCAACTGATCACCAAGTGCTCTGAACAGGCAATTGCTATCAAAACAAAAATGTTGGTCAAGACCTTTTAAAAATGAACTTAATTCATCTGAAACGACGACGCTTTGCACTAGGCCACTGATGGGAATCATTCCCCTGGAGATAAAGCCTCAATTCTGACAGTCCAGGATTCTTCCCAAATACTGTGGGGAGAGCACTAGGGCAGGCATTCAACCATATACCTTCTTGAGAGGCTACAGACTGGACCTCATTCCCCACTTAGCAGCTAGCTGACTCAGGAAAGACAATGAACTTCCCCAGTCTCAGCTGCTTCAATACATGCATGTGGTGATAGAGTAACCACCTGAAGACAGGGTCCAGACATTACAGGCCATTCCACACCTAAGGACTAGGATTCCCAGAGGCCCTTCCCAAGTAATAAATCCTATCTATCGCCTCTTTTCTGAAACGAGCTCCGCTACAGCTGCCCAGCTACCATCATTCATCTAACAAAGAGTACCCAAAAGACAGCAATTTGTCAAGCTCCTAATACAAGCAATTGAACTCTACATTCTGTTTGGGTCCTATAAACATAGTGGAGAAGACCAGGAGAAGGAAAGCCCGTGGACAACACAAAGTTGTACTGCAATGACACTCTCCCTCCTTGGCTCCTCTCCTCCCACCTAGGGAGCCACAAAGCCACTGTTACTCCTGCCAGATGGAAACTTTAAATGCCATTTTTTGTTTCTCAAATTAAAATGCTGATAATAAACTTTAAGAGCTATCTTTACTTGGAAACTCCTCAAAGGCTTCTAAAATTTCAAATTGTATCACAAATATAGAACCCAGACACACAGAAACCAAAACAAGACAAACACCAACTAGTATCCTTAAAACTAAGGCAATAAGCCATTGGGAAGCCCAACAGTTGCCCAGTTTCACACCAAACTGTCCGCTCTTCCAAGTGAAGAGTAAACTCATCGCAAAATATAAATCATTACTTCCATAACTTCAGACCTAAATGTGCAGGAGAAAGAGGTTTTTTGTTTCTAACTCAGAAAAGTGAGTTTTCAACAGAAAGTTATGGAGAAGGCAGGAATCTCTTCAAGCATATAAAGACATATACTTTATTTATTTATGAAGGCAGAGGAGAAAATTTAAAGAATGCAGGTTCTATAAACTATAAACTAGAAACCAAAAAATTATGCATCAATTTGGGGTAAGATTCTAGGACCAACTGGAATATAGCATTTGTGTATACTACACGGAGGTGTCTTTTACTAAAATACAACAGCCATCTTTTTTCACCCACGGGAAAAAAAAGTAACCTAATGGATAAGATGTTCTCAACTTTAAGCTTTTCTCTCAAACTTCTTTAAACCCTTAGTACCTGCCACCACTAGTCATTCTACTTTTGGGGAGTGCCTGGATGGCTCATACTCTTGATGTTGGCTGAGGTCATGATCTCGGGGTCATGGGATCAAGCCCCGCGTTGGGCTCAGTGCTCAGCACAGAGTCTGCTTGTCGACACATGTGCTCTCTCACTCTCCCTCTAAATTAAATAAATAAATGAATGAATGAATGAATTTTTTAAAAAAGATTTTATTTATTTGACAGACAGAGATCATAAGCAGGCAGAGAGGTAGGCAGAGAGAGGTGGGGGGTGGTGGGGGGCAGTGAAGCAGGCTCCCTGCTGAGCAGAGCCCGATGTGGGGCTTGATCCCAGGACCCTGAGATCATGACCCAAGCCAAAGGCAGAGGCTTAACCCACGGAGCCACCCAGGCACCCTAATAAATAAATAAAATCTTTAAAAAAAAAAAAAGAGGTGTGATTTAGCACAAAATTATGTATTTAGTTATTTTACATTAAATTCATGGTATTCAGCAGAAAGTAACTTGCTTTCTAAGAACTTTCAGTAACATGGGCAAATGTTCTCCATACAAGCCAAAAAACAGGGATAAAAGTACGTACACTGCGTGAACCTGACCATGTCCATCCACACACTATATACACACACATAAAACACACATAAATGTATGCAAACGCTGAAACCATCGCTTACGTAGCTCTTACGATTTGCCACAGACTGTTCTGAACACTTAATGTGTACTAGATGTATTTAGTCCTCACAACCCTCTGGGACAGGTACTATTACTATCTCCCTCGGGTAACTTAGCCACGGTCCCACAACCAGTAGATGGTGGCCCCAGGATTCAAACCCAGGCACCAAAAGGTTACCTGTAGTTATCCCTACACAGTGGAATTAGAAGTAACTGCTAAAAGTATTTTAAGATATGTATCTCTATTTACCAAACTCTCCTTGAGCTTACTAAAAATACGTAACAAAAATGAAAAATTAAGATAGACAAATCACTTTCCTTTCTGACAGCGTTACAAGAGAGTGATACAGGAAAACTGAACAAACACCACACGCTTAGCATAGCGGGCGGCCTCGGGGAGTCCTGCAAGAGCACAATGCGACCAGTGCCCAAAGGCCCCCTAGGAGATCCCGTTTGCTGAGCCCACACCTGAGCCCCATACACTAGGGCAGGGCTTCACACTACGGCCCTCTGGGGACGGCTCTGTTGTGGCGGCTGCGCACTGCACCTCAGGATGTTGACAAGCACCCTGGGCCTCTACCCCCTGGATGCCAGCGGCACCTCCACTGCCTCCCCGTCAGTTGGGGCAACCCAAACTGTCTCCAGACATCACCAAACGTTCCCTGTGGGAGCATCAGACTCATCTCCAGTGAGAACCAGTGCACTATCAGGTTCTATGTAAGGTCTTGCACTTGAGTTCACAAAAAAAACAATTACGTAAGTGGAGTGTAAGGAGTTCTGGGTGCCCAGTGAGAGTTCAGCAGGAGACAATACTGTAACAGCCACGGAAAGAACTAATGGCCTCCGAGGCTGCCACCATAGCAGTAAATGTGCAGGAAGGGCAGGGTGGGGGCAGGGGAGGGACAGGGCTTGTCCTCTTGGAGCTCAGACCACAGCTAGAGTACTAGATGCGTTTCTAGTTACCACATTTTCAGAGAGATATGTTCCGATGGGAAGTGGCTTTAAACCACAGGAGATGAAGAACATGAACTACAGCTTAGCCTAAAGCGGGCTCGGCAGGACACAAGATCTACCTCCAACTATATGTCATGGTGAAAGGCGCGCTGTTATTTGTACATTAAAACTAAAACACGGGAGCTCCAGAGACACAGATTCGGGCAAATGAAAGGAAATTTTAACTCTATGGAAACAAGTCCTAAACTAAGGATCCCGTAAATTTCCGTCTACTGGCAATCCTCGGTGTCTACATATGTGCTCTACACAACGGCAGCCAACAGCTACGTGTGACTACTGAGCATGTGAAACGTAGTTAATCGAAACTGAGGCGTGTTGTAAGGATAAGATACTGGATTTTGAATAGTATTTTAAGACATAAAATATCTCATTAAAAATGTTTATATTGACTCTGTCAAAACAATAATATTTTAACATACCAATATTATGACATACAGTGACATATATTAAAATTAGTTTCACCTGTTTCTTTTTTTTTAATGTAGCTAATGGAAAAATTTTAGATTACATATTGGCTCCTGTTTTATTTCTATTGGACCAGCACCGGTCTAGATCACTGATTCTCCAAGTATGATCCCTAACTACTTGAAAACTTATTTGAAATGAAAATTCTCAGGCTTCACCCCAGGCCTACTGACTCAAACATTCTGGGTTTAAACCCAAGAACCTAGCTCCTCGAAATGGTTGTGTTGCATTCTAAAGTTTGAGAAATACTAGCCTAAAATCTAGACTCTAGCTCCATGGTTTGCAATTACGGCTGCATATTAGAATCACCTGTGGACATTTTAAAGGACTAACCAGGTCCCACTGCCTGAGATTCTGGTATAGTTGATCTAGAAGAGGCCCAGACACTGTATTTTTTCCAAAGTTCCCTAAGTGTGCCAGCAAGCTTGAAAACCAGTGAGCTAGATGCAGAGCAGCTGTCCACGGGATGCCGGTGACAAGGTGATGTGGCAATGCCCTTCCATCATTAGAATCCTAAGATTCCAAAAGCAAAACAAAAATTAAAAAATAACTTGCTTAGGAGAGATAAATGGTTAAAATTAGTGATTCTTTAACGTTTTCATTGTAGAACACTACTAATTAGTAATGTAGTTGAGGCCAACATTTAGTAAGATGCAACTAGATACGGTTCAGAGATGCTAATATTGTACTGCCTAATCCAATCAGACATTCTTTTCACACTATGCCAATCATGTTTTTAAGGACAACACCAAGGTTAAAATATTTCTTTGTTTTGAAACTGAATCTAATTTATGTTGGCCCTCCCTCCAGACAAGAGGACAATACAAAGGCGGCCCATGACACATGACAAAACCCCGTAAGTAGCTCTGAGATTAATCTAGGCTAAATTGACTCATCTCACGTAAAGGCTACATTAGAGGACAGCAGGTGTCCAGAGGTGCCAGGATGCTCTAAGTACCATACCGCCTACAGTGAATATGCCTCCACAGTGAGAGGCTAGGTCAGGCTACTCAATATGGTAATCACACCAGAATGGAAAGACCGAAGAGTGGAGGCTGTCAACTTCTGTTATCATAACTTCATTCTATTTCACCAAGAGTACTCAATAAATATTAATAAAGAATCTGATGATACCTACTAAGCCATCACATACACAGGGAACCCCATTCACTGCACAGTGATAAAGCCTGTTGTCGTTATATCCAAAAGCACCACAACACTAGAAGGCTGAACCACAGCCCATCTCATGGTCCCCGTGGGAAGACTGTGTGAACAGAAAGGGGTGAGCCTCATGGAACACACAGAAGGAATTATCATTATCATTTTAGCTAACATTGTCTCAAGAACAGTGACCCCGGAAGGGAGGGACATGAACATTCCTCTGGCCTCCGCAGCCTCCCTGCCAGTGTTCTACCCTTCTACCCTGATACTCCTGCGTCCGAAGCAACTCCTGTCTCTCTAAAAAAATAATGCGCTCCTGTGCCTTTACATGTATTATATTACTCCTCAGCCTGGAATGTTCTCTTGGCATATTCCCATTGGTATGGGAATGACCCAGTCTGAGTATGACCTCCTCTGAGAGGCAGCTGGTATGGTGTAAGCTCACTGAATATTGGACGAATGAATGAGAAGGCCTCCCTGATCGCTTCAGGAAGTGCTGGCCACTTCTCAATAGTACTATAATCCGCCACTGTTAAAAATATACCAAACTGTAATTATTTATATCATCCATTCTCAAAGTGGGGCCCAGTTTGGGAGAGGGGAAGGTAGCTCTGAGACCCTTCCGGGGTATTCCTGAGTTCAAAACTAAGATGTTACTTATCTTTTGCACTCTTACTCTCCCACAAGTATACAGTGGAGATTTCCAGAGCTTACGTGATACATAGGTTATCATTCTGACAGTTAATGGAATGGGTGTTTGTGTAGTCTTGTGTTTCTAATTTTTGCTTTCCTTTCAAATACAGTAAATATTGATAGCTATAACCCACATAAACAAAAGCTCTCTGGAGTTCTCAGTAATTTTCAGGAGTGTAAAGGAGTCCGTAGGTCAAAATGTTTGAGCTCCCTTTTTCATTTATCTCTTACTAGGCTGTGAACTCCTTAAGTATCTTAGTCATCAATGGATTCCCAGCTCTTGCTCAACCAACATTTGCTGAATTAACTAAATTATGTTCTCCGGGGGCAGAGCAGAGAAGAGGTAGTACCCCCAAAGTTTTCCATCGCATTGTGAGAGCTCCCTCAGGATTTTACAGTTCCCTATGCTGCAATTCCTGCTCAGAAGCAACCTTCTGTTGAGTACTTCAGTTTCCCCGGCATCCTGACATTGAGAATACCATGTCCAGTATAACAGACACAAGCACTCCAATCATTTGCAAGGAAGAGCCTCACCTCAATCCCAGTGTAAAATATTCAACTGTAAAGTATTTTAGTTTATACAGCAGTGTCTCGTGCTTGTAAGTTTGATCAGGGTAAGTAAGGCCCAGAATAGTTCATAAACTATATCTGACGAAATCAAAGTATTAGGCTAAAAGCAAGACACAAGAAAGCAAGTCTTTAACGGCAGTGACTCCACTAAGAAAACGTCCCTTTGTGAGCCCCTCCTGAGGGTGTAGTTGGCCTCTGTGACATTTTTATCATTCATTGTACAACAAAAAAGCACTGCATGCCCTCTATGTACTAGGCACTATGCTAGATGATGGTGAGTAAAACGCAACCAAACTCTAAAGCCAAGTGTCTAAGCACTGAACATATGCAGGAAAAGATGGGAAATATCAATTAGTGCCAGTTCATACACTGTCTTGATCAATAAGGTACAGTGTGATGTGAAATCAAAAAACAAAAACCACTTTCTTCCCTCTTTTCCATGCTTAGTAAGTAAGGCAATTCTATATGGTCTTGAACCTCCTCTTATTCCTCCCTCTGCCCTTTCTGAGCCCTTAAATGAAGGGAAGAACAGCAGCAGCCAGGCTATTATTAATATTGTCTCTTCCAGAGTGACACACCCTGGCAACCAGGCTCCCTCTGACCTACCCCTGCAATGAGGGTGCTAACTGTTCTCCCCCCCTCTCTTCTTTTTCCTGCTGTCATCCATGCTTCTGGATCCATATCCCCTTCCCTTTCCCCATTTTCTCCCTCCCATCCCACTTATTTAGCTCGTGTTCCCTAAAAAAGCTTGCCCTAGATTCCAGTCTAAGCCCCAAGCAAGCTGGAGTTAAGCATCAGAGGAGAAACTCGGGCGCACAGAAGTCAGAACTAGAGAAGTCACCTTCAGTTCAGTGCAAAGACCTAACTTCCTAAGTGTAAAAGGAGGGCAGCACCCAACAGCAAGAACTCCAGAAGGACAGAGTGTTATACCAAGTGGAGCGTCGCCTCTTTCTCCCGGTCTCAGCGTCGTTCTGACTGCCCTACGTGCTGTCCTGCTCTTCGAGGGACCAGCTCCAACTCATTCCTGCAGGTCTCAGCTTAAATGTCACCTTTCAGAGAGGCCTTCCTGGGCACCTATCTAAAGGAGACTTGCTCCACTGCTGTCTCTTGGGACCACTTCACAGTTTCCTCGCGGCCTCCGCCACCATGAGGTCAGTTTGAGATTACTCGAGCGTCCCGAGGGGAGGGATCCACCCCCACCCCCCTCCCGCACTGGGAAGCGGTGGCGCTCGGCGCCTCCTGAATGAATGAGCGGACGAGAGCGGGCGACGGTCGCCATGCCCCGCGCGTCCCCCGGCGCCGCCTCCCGCGCTCCCGGGCCCGCCTCACCCGTCCCCCGGCACCTCCCGCAGCTTCAGCCCCAGGGCCTGCAGCTGGTTGGCGAAGCTGACGAACTCCTCCTCGCAGCCGCCGCCGCCGCCGGACTCCGGCCGATTCCGCCGCTCTTTGGCCAGGGCCCGGCGCGCCGCCCGCTCGTCGCGCTTGCGCTCGGCCTCGGCTTTCCGGCTGCCGCTTCCCGGCCGGCCCTTGGCCGCTTGCTTTCGGGACATGGCCGCGACGCGCGGCCCGCAGCTGCAAGACGAAAAGCCGCAGGACCGCCCGGCGGCCGTCTCAGGTGCCAAGAAAGCGAAGCGGCGCGGGCGACGGAGCCCGGCGACGGCGACGCGGCCACCGCGCCTGCGCGAGAGCGGGGCTTCCCGGGACACGTGAGGTGCCCCGCCCCCTCCGCGCGGCTCTGTGGGCAGGCACCATAGAGAGCTCGCCTGAGAGAGGCAGAGGGGCACCGAGCTTTGTTGGCTCGGCTCTTCCCCCCGGCGGTGGGTGGTGCTCCGAGTGAGGAGCTGGTGGCTGCTGAGAACGAGGCAGGGGACGGTCAAGAGGAGAAGGAGAAGGATTGAAAAGTCGGAGACCAGATCAGCGACCAAAGTAAGGAAAGAAAGGAAACTAAAAACTTTTAACTCTACTTCTGAGCCTACATTTGGGATAGGCCCGTTCACATGGCTCAGTCGTGTTTATTATCCCCATATTACGGGAAATGGGATCTGAGAGGTTAAGGAATTTCCAGAAGATACCACAGCAAAGAAGCAGAGCTTTGCCCTCCTTCCAAAGCCCATACGCTTTGTTTCTTTAATCCTTCCCTCTCCACCATCCTCATAAAGGGAGAGGTTGCCCTTGTCCAAAACTTCTGACAACTCCGGGAATCTGGATTCCAATCTAGGGTGACACACCTAGGTTTGCCTCGAATTCTGGGTTTCCTGGGACGCAGGGCTTGTGGTTTTAAAACCGAGACAGTTCTCCGTAAACCAGGATCATTGATTGCTCTAACTCACACCCACCTACTCTGGAACCTAACCCCACTGACAAGTAACCCCCGTCTCCTGCAATAATCCCGTTGTTAAAAGGAAGACCGAGGCACATCAACATTTTCGAGGGTTTATCTTGGGCATACATCATGGGAACGGAGCTGTGCCAAACCAAAGGTGGCTGGGGATGGTCCTCCAACAGTAGCTAGGGGAGAGGATTTTATAGAGAAGACAGGAAGCCAAGCCAGGAAATTATTTGATGGTGTTGCATGAGCCGTTGACTTATTTGGGAAAACCTACTTGACTGTGCTTGGTTCTTAAGTTTCATTTTCTGGGATTTGAGTGCATTGAGTCTGGCTTAGGTTTTGGTTTGCTTCTGTAGTTACAAGGCATTACAGCCACCTTGGTCTAATAGCCTCCCAGTTTGGTTACCTTAACACCCTGTCCTCCATCGTCTCAGCCCCTTTTCTTAATTCCTTCCCTTCCCATAGTCATGCTACTGCCTTCTCTTTATGGCCCTCTAAACTAATCTCACCATCCCTAGGAATGTTCCTAATGTTTCCGCCCATAATAATTATCTTCTCACTCTACTTACAAGGTCCTCTTGGGTCATGGCCAAAAGCAGCATCTGCACACTCAGTTTCAACCAGCGTCCGTATTTATCTCCCACCAGTAACCCTGTGCTGGATGCCCAGCATAACTCCGAACCAAAGAGATAGGGGGATTGCCCTCAGGAGGCCCAGGTTCCAGTGGGACATATAGACAAGGAGACAGCAAATTATAATATTGCATAAGAAATGCTATCAAGGCAGAGGTATAGATGCCTTGGGGGGGGGGAAGTGGAGTGAAAGATGCATAAAGGGTTCCAGGAAGAACTGAGTGCCAGGCTGAAGCTGAAAGGGTGAGAAGGACGTGGGCAGACTGAAAGAGTTCAGAGGGAGGGGACAGTGTGCTCAGTTTTGAGAACTGAAGGAAGTACCATCTGACAGAATTACGAGGGCTTGAGCAGGAAGCGGAAGGAAAGCCCAACTCCAGCGCAATCTCCATAGAGCATACGAAGGGACTCAGCCCAAGTCCCTAGAGCCCTGGCGGGGCCATCTTGGAGACAGACACGATCAGGTGTATGTCTAGAAATAGGTCTTCGGCTTTGATGAGGCGAATGAGTAGGGGGGGATGTCACATGGGAGGCTCCAAAGACGGATGACAGTGATGTGATTCTGGGTCAAGGACATGACACTGGGTCTAGGACGGAGGCGAAGTGAGGGCGATTGGAAAGATAGATTCACATGCTAGTAAAAGCACCTAGAAGGGAACTGGACTGACTTGTCTTGGAATGTTTCACGGGCTTGACTGACGTTCCTGAAATTCTTCCACTACAGATCCTTCTTTTGTTCTCAGGAAGAAAGAGTGTGAATTGTGCCTGGACCCACCTTTTCTTGCACAGACATTCCAAGGTTTTAGATGACCCCTCTGCTGTGTTTAGTAAGGTGGGGGGAGGGGACAGGAAGTGCTGGGAGTGCAAACCCCTGGACAGGAAGGCAGAGACCCAGGTTCAGGGCTGGGTCTATCACCAACAGATGCCACAAGCTTGGGTTGGTTACTCCCCCTCCCAAGTTCCTTTTGCTCATCTGTAAAATAGCAGCAATAACCCCAAGGACCAAATACAACAGTAAGGACAGTAATGACAGACTTCTGTGGGGTTACCGTGTGCCTGGCACTGCTCTCATTGCTTTGCAAATACTGTCTTCTGTAGTCATTTCAACAACTCAATGAAATAGGTACTGTCTGAGGCACAGAGGGGTTAAGTAACTTGCCCAAAGTCACAAAGCCAGACCATTTCACTCCAGACGATATGCTTTTTTTTTTTTTTTTTTTTTTAAGTAGGCCTCACACCTACCATGGGGCTTGAACTCACGACCCCAACATCAAGAGTCCCACACTCTACTGACTGGGCCAGCCGGGTGTCCCCAGGACTATATTATACTCTTAACCTCTGTATTATACGACACACATAACTTTTCACAAACTGCACAAAACTCTATATAACACATAAATTATTTCATTATTAGCTCTCTTTCCCCCACATTCATTGTTAATACAGTCTTTCGACCACCTCTGTTATCACATATCACTGTTGTCTGATTTTCGATTTAAGTTTTTCTGTTGGGGCGCCTGGGTGGCTCAGTGGGTTAAAAGCTCTGCCTTCGGCTCAGGTCATGATCCCAGGGTCCTGGGATGGAGCCCCGCATCAGGCTCTCTGCTCTGCAGGGAGCCCGCTCCCCCTCCCCAACCCAGCCTGCCTCTTTGCTTGCTTGTGATCTCTGTCTGTCAAATAAATAAATACATAATCTTAAAGTTTTTCTGTGTTAAAGCAGATCATAACGGTTTAGAGCCTGATAGACCTAGATCTCCATCCTGGGTTCACCTTAGGTGAGTGATTTAACTTCTGAACCTCAGTTTACTATTCTGCCAAATGGCCATGCTGTTGTAGAAAAGGGAGGGAGAGTTGTAGACATTAATAGAAACATAAAGCCCCAGGCTCACTAGCTTAACAGAGTTGCTTGAAACGTTTCTCTGTGGTGGAAAGCTCATGGGGGCAAGGCAAAGTCTGGCATTGCAAACTTCAGAAACCAGAAGAGGAAGGCCTGTCTTCACAAAACATATGGAAAGCCAGAATATGTGCAAATAGTGACAGAAATGCAAACACTTGTCCTTCTCATAAAATTCTTTTCTTCCAGAGGCCCACAGCCTTTTGGCCCATACCTAGAATATCTTTTTATCTCTTTTTTTAAAGATTTTATTTATTTATTTGACAGAGAGAGATCACAAGTAGGCAGAGAGAAAGAGGAGGAAGCAGGCTCCCTGTTGAGCAGAGAGCCCAACTTGGGGTTCCACCCCAGGTCCCTGGGATCGTGGCCTTAGCAGAAGGCAGAGGCTTAACCCACTAAGCTACCTAGGCACCCAATGTCTAGGCTTTTGAAGGAGCTAGTTGCTTGTCCCTCAGCAAAGAGCTGTGTTAGACGACGTCTCCTTTTGAGTGGGAAGGAATAATGCTTATATGTACTATCGAAAGGCCGAAGGGAAGGAGGACTTGTGTGCTGAATGAATGCTCTACAAGCTTCATCAGAGTTAATTCAAAGACTTATAAAACCTCACTGGGTGGCATGTAGTACAGGAGTCTCCCCTTATGTGCAGGGGACACATTCTAAGACCCTCCCCCCAGCAAGTGCCTGAAACCGCAGAGAGTACCGAGCGCTGTGTATACTATGTTTGTCCCTATACACACAAACGTATGGTAAAGTTTAATTTATAAATTAGACACAGAAAGAGATTAGCGATAATAACGTTTAATGCCATAGAACAATTACAACAAAATACTGTAATAAAAGTTATGAGAGGGGCACCTGCGTGGCTCAGTCAGTTAAGCGTCTACCTTCGGCTGAGGTTATGATCTCAGGGTCCTGGGATTGAGCCCCGCATTGGGCCCCCTGCTCAGCTGGGAGTCTGCTTCTCTCTCTCCCTCTTGCTGTTCTTGTGCTCTTTCTCTCTCGCAAATAAATAAAATCTTTTTTTAAAAAGTTATGTGAATGTGGCTTCTCTCTCTTTCTCAAAATATCTTGTATTCACCTTTCTTGTGATGATGTGAGATGATAAGATGCCTGTGTGATGAGACGTGGTGAGGTGAAGGTGAATGACCAGGCATATGATGTAGCCTTAGGCTACTATTGAACTTCTGACAATCTGTTAACATTACCAGGGAGATCATCTGCTTCTGGACTGGGGTTGATCGCAGGTAACTGAAACTGTGGAAAGCAAACCGTCTTGATGGGGGGCAGGAACTACTTGCAAATTAGTTGATTTTTTTTTTAAGTGTGATTAGCAGAATTTTAGTGAAGAAATGCAACTCTAGGACTTGTCAGAACCCACCATAGAGGATATGTGAACTCTCATGCACTGCATTTTAGAGGTAAACTAGTCTGGACCCTTTGAAGGACAATGGGGCAGTCCCTGGTAGCATTTTAAATGTCTGATGACCCAGAGAGGCCACATCTCATTACCCATTCTAAAACAAGTCTTGGGCCATGGACTGGGAGTTATACCCACATGGCTTTAAGGCACAATGGTACGTAAAAGCCAGTAATTAGAAACAATGTGAATATCCATCCATAGGAAAATGGCTTCTTAAATTATAAAGCAGCCATTTATTAAATGCTTTACAACACTTTAACAGGATGAGGGGGAGGGAAATGAGGGTGGTCTAGAATTCACATACACAGCTCTCCTGGACTTGTGGTCAAATGAAAAACCACAAGGCAGAACAACGCTTTCCAAGTAGACTTTACCTAAAACACGAAAATAACATAAAACAAAACAGAAGAGTTATGTTTTCTGCAGGTCTATAT